AAAATGTGAATCGTTGTCCATCATTTTGTAAGCCAAGAAGGAGTTGGTGATAAAGAAAAAAGTCACGTCGACTCGCAATATAAGAAACATTTCAGTTTTCCACATGAATTATGAGGTGAGTGGATGAATGGACATAACAAGCAATGTGCAAACTTTGCGCAACAGATAAGTCGGTGAAGGAGTCCCAAACCCCAGTCAATTATTCACTACAGAAAATGAAATAAAAAATTGACAGAGCTTTCTTCATCTGACTCAGAAACAACGAGAGATGAATCTACTTCAATATGCTGATAATAAGATACCTGTATATAACGGTATTGCTTTATTTTCTTAATATTTCTCTTGTAGCACATAAGTTAGTGAAAACATTTGAAGAGAATTATTTTGTTTAACAAGTTTGTGTTTGAAATATAGCTGCTCTTAAAGAAGAAATTAACCTTTGGTCTAATAAAACATCAGTACCTAGTCGACCGTCCTCTGAGATTTGTTTTCATGATAATCGAATGTAAAGAGTTTTAGCTCTAAAAACTGTTTAGCGTATATTACTAGTATTAGTATATGGGGGCATTTAATAAGTAAAAAGAAATCACTAGTTAATACCACTAACAAGGCTCAAAATAGCCCCACACGAACACAGTAACATAATGAGGGTCCCTACATGCAAAACGAAGCATTGTGAACTTTGTAAGTGTACGGACCGTTTAATAAGATACTTCATAAAGACAGTTCACTTCGTATACAGACAGGAGCCATCTTAGAAAATAGTCTCAATAAGTCGATCCCCGAACTTCATACAGTTCAGATCACTCAGCACGATGTTCATGGTTTGACTTGTCGTGACTGTTAAATAGATAGTATATCCTTCTTTAGCTATTTTCATGTACTGTAATAAATTTCAGTCTATCATGTGTTGTTGTAGAGAAGAGAAGATAAAGTGTGTTTTTGTGCGATTATGTCATGATGCTGCTCTCAGGCCTGTTATCACACATCCACCCAGAAGCTGCACTTCAACAGCACTCCAATGCTCACACGGTGTCACGGCCAAAAATACTGCTGTCTTAGAGAACAAGACAAAAACTTACGAAGTTCAACTTAAGTAATGTATTTCTCCGATAAATTAACTCTGGTGTTTCCCATTAATTATTTAGATTCTGGCAGCCCACCATAATATACTCTGTCCTGCTGCCACATTTTCACAATGAACCGAAAATATTTTTAAACTTCACCTAATATCATACAAGGTCTCCAACGATGTGTTTTGTGACATTGCTTTGGCAAAGTATCTGTCGAACGAGCTAAATTGAAAGCCAGTAGCAAAAGGCTGCAATAGTGAAATTTAAGCAAATAGTCTGAAACTAAAGATTAGTTTGATAATCGATTCATCTGTTTAAAGACTTTTCTTTTAAAAAAAATTATTAATCAGAGTAAAAATCGAGAAATGATTATACATAAAAATGCATTTGTATCAATTATTTTAAGCAATGTTATTCCACATCCTGCCCAACAATGTGTAATATAAAGCCTAAATGCAAATATGTATCTATAGCCTATGCTGTACATTATTAGCAAAAAAAAAAATGGTTAAAAATATAAACTTTGCATTCTAAACCAAAAACTAATTGCCTACTATTTTTAAGCTAAATTAAAAACTATAAACAAAACAAAACTTGTACAAAGTATGAAGAACACGCACTTACTTGGCTGAACATAATTATATTACATTAATATACTTTTCCAATAATCGTGACTTTCATAAACATGACTGCTTGTGTTACATGTAGAATTTTAAACTACACTTAATATCTAAAGAAATATATATTTTGGCAAAATGTGTTTCTTAGTCAGAATTATTATGCTCCTATTCCCGCCCGGGCTCGTTCATTTCATGTCGGTGAGGTTTAACAAGTCTCACTTGTTGTAAGAATATGCAAAACGGAAATGGTTGGGGAATTTTCTAACATTAACAGATAAGGATATAAAATAAAAATGTAAGTTATGTGTTGAGGAAAACACTTGTAAGAGGCATTAAAAAGTGAATGCATCTGTCAAAGCACCACGACAGGGCAAACTGCGGTAATAGCTTGAACAAGCTCTTATAAAGATAAAGCATTCTTCTGTTTTGGACAACTTGGATCATGCACCTTTTGTGTCTTCCACTATTTTCCATGTGTATTGTCTATTAGAAATTTGCTACTGTAAAGCGATGTGACTGGCTGATGGTTTCTGAGCATATAGAGATAAAAAAGTTGATGGATTTTTATCATTATATGATGAATGTGTACATGCATTCATTGCCAACACACATTTCGATACAATCAACTTGTAAAAGTGCATGCACCATTATATGACCCCTTTAAACCACAATCTCCATCCACATACATTGGCCTCAGAAAGTATTTGGACTTACTCGCTCTCTAAATGTGATTTCGCTGCATGCAAATAATTTGTTTTTGGTTTGATATTTTGTTAATGCAATGGATTAAAAACAAATGTGAACTGATCTCTATATCATTTGGGCACAGAATATGAGGCCTGAATATGAAGACTGAAAATTCAGCAGGCCTACTGGGAAGTGGGAATGAATGAACATATTACATGTTATTTATTTTAAACATACAGGCAAAGCATCAAGTCGTTAAATAAGGTTTTAGGTGCTCAATTTGCAACATTTAGGTTTCATAATAATGTGTTATGAAGCAGAACAGCAGGGTTGAGGTTGTGTGTTTATGACGAGGCCCCCTGAGTGGCCTTCACACACTCTCTCTCTCACACACAACCTCCAATTACCCACGTAATTCTTTCCATCCCTTCCCGATAAACAACATGGAATTAACTACAACCATGAGAAAGACATTCAAGCTCATCCAGGACTGGAAAACATAGAAAGAACGTAATATTGGTGGTTATGCGTGTGTTTATGAAGCTACAGATCGCTAGCTTTAGCAGGAGCTGACCCAGCGCGGGCCGTGTCTCACTCTCGAAACCTAGCGAGGGAGCTCACTACATAGACGGCTTTTCTGGGCATCACAGGGGGCGTGTACACAGGACGTATTCTAGCGTTTAAGACAGAAATAGAATGGAACCGAACGCAACGTTTCTAAAAAACAATTATGACACAACGGGAAAAACGTTGGTGTTCGTGATTAGCGATGACTGTCTAGGCAACTCACTAGGTATTAAATCACAGCCATGGTCATCATGATGCATAAACATCCTGATTATGCACATTGGTATTTATTAAGGCTTTAAACACATTTGGTTTCGATCTTAAATAAGCAGATTAGGTTAATAGGGTTAAATGTATTTTAAATATGTATTCACTAATACTCGTAAATCTGTCATATGCATGCGTTTCTGGTTTATACAGCACTATAGTGACAGTTTTATGCGAATAATAGATGCGTTTTTCTGATACAAACACCCTGACCCAGTTAAACGACTCCAGCTTCAGCCTATGTGAAGATGCTTAAATGAATGACAGTAAATGAAGCGGGATTAGGGCCTGTTGTTTACCTCTCTGGACAGGTGAATGAGAGCAGCGCTCGGGTGAGCTCCTGTGGTCCGGAGGAGAGCGCCTCTGCCCCGGGATCAGCCGACCGTCCAGCGAGCCGTTTCCTGCCGGACTGGCGAGCGTCGGGCTGTCGGAACTGGAGCTGCTGTGCTGGGCTGCTGCGGTCGGTTCTGTGTTGCTTCCGACTGAGATGAAGGAGGAGGAGAAGGAGGACGCGGGAGGGCGGGTCGGGCTGTGCTGCTGATTTCCACGCAGGAGCTGGTAGGGCACCGTGGCGCGAATGGGCTGCAACCGGCTCGTGTTGCCGGCGGAGGATGATGATGATGATGCTGCTGAGGAAGAGGAGGGGGAGGTGTTGATGGGGGACCCGTCATTGCCGCGCTTGACCCGAACCGAATGCACAGGTGATGCTGACATGACTGAACCTAACTAACGTTATGTAGTATATTTACTAAAAAAATACACTAATACATTCCTTCCCAAGCCTTCATTAACTAAACTTACGTCATTAATTAAACTTCTCATTAAAAGTATTTTAACGGTTAAAAAAAGCAGAAACTTATTTTAATGTTGGTGTAACGTTAATGCGCAGCCTCCGTTTGTTGGTTAGTGTGCTAAAATTGTAGCAATGTAGCTTCCCTGTACGAAGTTTTTGTCCTTTAGTCATGCAGATGATTGAATGACGCTAACTTGTCCTTAAAATGTGTCAGGGGTTCATCCTAGTCTGGAAACCTAAAAAAAGTTGACGCTGAAGATATGTTATCCCGACTGTCGTGTGTCTCTGCACCCCTCGTTGCCTAGTGTACTCCAAATGACGGGCTCTGTAGCGGCACAGTCATCGAGACGTGTGGGCGGGAGCGTCCGGCGCTCTTACGACCTCTGATTGGTGTATCGCAAGATCAAAATAAAATGTGATTGGTTTGGCGAAAATGATGGACTCAGAAGGAGCCAATGGACTCATTGTGGTTAAGAACGTGTGGGATTCTGTCTTGCTATTGGTTGAGAATGTAAACTGAGAGACTAATCTAATGGTGCAAAGTACAAACATTACTAGATAACACAGATGGTGTAACGGACTTAACGGTAAGCAATGCAAAGAGCATTAGAAGACATAAGAGAGACCGGGATCGGGACTCTAAAATGTAATTAATAAATGTATTAATTACAATTTTAGCTCGAAGATTGAGCAGTATTCTCCGGATAAGTTTACCCAATAAATGTCAAATTTGGAGCAAGTTGTCACATTTTAAAACGCTCCATTTGTTAATTTAATTTATTCAATTCAGTAATTTAAACGGTTTTTGGACAAAACAGTGACGTGACATATTTGTTGTTTTGTTAGAATTTTGTGAAATAGTTAGGCCCTATATATATATATATATATATAAGTTTATTTTACCTTTAAGTACAGTCGTCAATTTTGTGTAGTTTTTGTGCTAAATAATATTTGCAAGATATGTACACACTAAACAGCAAATTGCAACAAAACAAGTGTGCAAATACAATTTTAATTAAACATTTTCCGCTCATGCTCAGAATTCAGCATAAACATCATGTGGGATCAGAATCAATGAGGAATTCTGTTCCAGATATGAATCAATAAGGAATCCATAGTTAAAATGTCATGAAGTTATTTTACAAACATTTTAAAGGGCAGAGACAGCACAATGCAAACTTTGATTACCTCAGGACAGTGTTTTGAAAAAGACTGGTCAGTGACTGAGAAATTAGGAGGAACCTTGGATGAAATAATTGCAACTGACAAATCAAAACAAATACCAAAAAAAGAAAAAGAAAGAATATATATATATAATTTAATAAACAAAAGTGAGATTTGATGTGATAAAGCAAATCAATTATCAAGTAAAGGACGTAAAGGAGACAACTAAACCTGAGTGCATTGTGTACATAGCAGCACGCACTATAAAACCCATTCATTAACTGAAATTCAGCTGAAAGAGGGGGAAAAAAAGAGATCAACAACTATGTAGCCTGTTCAAAACAGAAAAGTAAATCCTATTAAAATCCATGTGCATGTTTTTGCAATCAAACAATACATATCTGCCTCCAAAAATGGGGCGTTATCAACTCAAAATCTTCATGCATTAAAACCAAACAACAGCCGTATGCAATGTTCAAAATGTATGGCCTATTTATAATTTTAAGTGCAATTCTTTCACTTAAATGAAAGATGTGTGTAATTTTTGTTCACATCCCAACTTAATATGCAGACACAACTACAAGTAAGCAAAATTCGAATTATAAAAACAAAATACTCCAAAGTACTCGCGTGGTGAAAGTAAAAAGCCAAAACGAGTACCGGTAGATCCACACAGGTTTTTAATGATTAAGCCCAGTTACTTAAAGGCGTTTTACTTTCATCATGTGAGTGCCTTGGACTATTTCATCTTTAGTTTGATCCAGTGAGCATCAGTGGCTATGTAAAGACTACACTCTCTGCTCTTGTTGTTTTATAAGCTTTATTCTATACTGATTTCCCTGAAAAGTGTAAACACCATCAAAACATTGTTTGCATCCCAAACAGCCCGGCACAGCAACACTGACTCGACCAATGGCGTCAGTTAACAGCGGGACTATCTGTTTGGTTGACCAGTAGCAGACAGAGGACAGAGTGTTTTTGCTACACCTTTAAGGTTTATAGGTACTCACTGTAGAGTTACAGCAAATCTAGTTGATGATTGTCATTTTTTATGTTTATTTATATTTCAAAAATGAAATACTTGTATCTGTTATCCAATAATTTATCTTAGATATGTTTAACGAATTACATTGCTGAGTGACAGATTACTATAAAATCCTTCTTTTTTTATGCATCATAACTGGTTTAAGCGAACGATCGGCAAGCAAACTTCTTGAAACCGGTTCCATAAATTACAGTAAGTCTTTGCAGAACTAAGAAAAAACTGAGGAAGGCCAACGCAGACTGCGATGTCTGAAACACCAAACAACCGAACGCAACTACTGAGAAACACAACCGTTTCAAAACAATTTCCGCATATTATCTTGTGCTAAGTCAAAATGCACTCTAAAATTGCACCCGTAAAATTCAAACAAACTACATTTGAAAAATGTAAAGCCATAGGTCATCTTATAAATACTCATCTACTGATTTTAAATGAGGCGGTAACACTCATCTCACACAATCAAATGCAAGATCCTGAGACTGTAAACCAACTTGATGCAAACTTCACTAACTAAATGGACAATATGTTCGTTTGAGCCCAACACCCTATAGTTAGTCAGGGACGGATTTTTTTTCAGCTAACTGAAACTAGATCTTAATTTATTTAAGAGGCAAGCGGTTAAGGAGAATCTTGACAACCAAAGGCTCATAGTTCATCACGTGTTAGTGATATGACTGATGGGCTGAGAGTCACGGCTCACAAAGCACAGAGTTCTCCAAAGAGAAGTCATAACGAAAGTTGGCTAGTTTGTCATTTATGTCGTGAGGCACGGTGATATCTGTTACAAAGGGCAGGCCTGCCTGCATGGCAAGGATGTGTGGTGCTAAAGTGAACGGTATATCGCCCAGAAATTCAGGGAGAGCAGGGGTGGCGTCTACACCGTGCGTTTCTGAGGACATCTTAGCGGATGTGGGCTGAGAGGAAGCCTGAGCAGTCTCTGCAAATCCTCTGTTCCCGGCACTGGATGGCTAAACAGAAAGAAAGAAAATCCACAGTGAAAACTGAGAAGAGCAGTACTGTTACTATGTTCATCACAGGACCTATAGTAACATTGACCTAACTGTGGGCAGGTGTTTAGCTCTTTAAATCCTCAACAATGCTAAATAAGTTCAGCCTTTACTCATCATTATCATCACCATCAAGGTCAGGTGATATAATGTGTCAGGTATGAATTCCTTTAGCATTAATGAGTCAAAAATGTGCCTCTTATTATTACCCCCAAAAGAGAAAGCCTGCAGACACAGAGCTGAGAAATCTGGTGTCGTATGAAATGGGTGAGGATTCATTACAGCCCTGAAACATCACGATGAAGGAAGTCACATGTTGTACCACAACTAGAGCTAAACTTCACAGTCTGACACAACTAATGATGCTCACATGTGCAACACAGTACAGCACGGTTAAAACTGTTTGTAAATAGAAGTGAATTATTTATCAAGACAGTAAACAGTTCTCATGCAACTACATTTCTCTAGTGAGATTTTTCATTTTCTGAAAGAAATTAAAACTGTTATTTAGCAAGGACACATTCAATTAATCAAAAAAGTTTTTTAAATTGTCACAAAAGATTTCAACTTTTAAATGCTAGTATTTTGAACTTTCTATTCAACAAAGAATCCTAAAAAAATGTATCAAATGTATTGATGCTGAAAACTCAACGTTGCCTTTGAAAATATATTCAAATAGAAAACAGATTTAATTTTACTGTATTTTTGATTTTAAAATAAATACAGCCTTGGTGAGCATAAATGACGACTTTGACCAAAACTTTTGTATGGCAAAAAGAGAATTCTAAGATATATAATAGTTTGGGTGTAGTGGTGTATTATAACATAATCAGCTCTAATACACCAGTAAGACAATGTCAATCCTGTGCATTATCACTTAAGGTCAAATGTGGAACTATGTGCTTAAAAATATGTTAATTTGTCAGTGTGATTCAATGAGCAAAGCTTTCTTAAAAGGATACTTTTTGGAAATAGGCTCATTTTACAACTCCCCCAGAGTGAAACGGTTGAGTTTTACTGTTTTCGAATCCCTTCAGCCGATTTTCTGATATTTAGAAGAATATCAGTAACCAGACAGTTTCTGGTCTCATTGACTTCCAAAGTAGGAAAAAAATATACTATGGAAGTCAATGAGACCAGGAACTGTCTGGTTACTAATATTCTTCTAAATATCAGAAAATTGGCTGAATGGATTCGAAAACGGTAAAATGAGCCTCTTTCCCAAAAACAATTGGAGTATCCCTTTAATCTGCAGGTAAACAGAATCTGGTAGTCTTAGTTGTGGAGGCTGGAGGTGGTTTCTTACTTTTCTTGTTTGTCTTATTTGAGTGCCAAACACATGTCAGACAGGGAATGACAATCTATTAAAGTCAGTTCTTTACTGTAACATGAGACTGGAACAATACATAGAGGGAGAAGCAAAAACACTGAACAACAAACTGAACTAAATAAGGAGGAAATCTTAACTTCCATACGAATGAAAGTGGATGGTGATCGAAAGCTGTCCAGCCCCAACAAAGACTAAAGCACAATAAAAGCAGTCCATGTGAAAAATAAGACTAAAATTTGCTTCACTCACAATTGAATCTTCTATATTGGTCTCTATTCACACTCATTGCAAGGAAAAGGGAAAAAAATTAATCATACCAGTTTTGATAGACATGGTAAGTAACGGATTAAAACTCTCAGCTTGTCCTTTAAACATATGAATGAGGTTTCTCTTGTGGTCCGTCTGAGTCACAGAACTGCTAATTCAACTGTGCTTTCGTGGCATTGAACAGCTTTCCCTTGAAGTGTCATTCTGTTCCTGTCAATATTTTGCATATAGTGTCAATTAATTTCCTGCTTAATGTCTGCATCAAGCGTTAAAAGCATTGTGGCGTATATCCGAGTGAAACACTAAATAAATAAATAATGTAGGGCAGGACCTTTTGGATTTTGTCCATTGGGAACTGATTGGATCCTTGTTTATTGCTGCGATCTCATGTTAGCAACAGGTCGCTGGAGAAGAGGGATTATTGTCCCAGTGCACACGTCATCAGAGACGGGATGTTACAAGAGGGAGAGGACGTTAATGTTTTTGTTGAGGCTAAAAAAAAAGGTTGATGTGCAGTTCTGCACAGATAAATCCTTTATAACAAACACCGCACCATTCCATAAAAGAAAATACAAATTTTATATATTGATTTCATTGTTACATTAAAGGGTTAGTTCACCCCCCAAAAAATAAAATTCTGTCAACAATTACTCATTAGACATCTTCGGTGCACAAATTAACCTTCAAAAGGTCTTCGTTTCCTGTTTACACTTCTGGGTCTATACGACCCCAACAATTGAGTAATTGTACAAAAAATATACATTTTTAATTATACAAATAATATATCTTTTTGTTTTTTTTGTTTACTTCTCATCTATTCATTAATGCTGTGTTTTTGGAGATATAAAGTACTTTTGTATCCATATACAACACAATTCCTTAACTACACCATTAGCTTGCATATTATTTTTTTATGATACATTGCATTTATGCTCTAGTACTAGGCCTTCATTTCTGTGTATACATTATCAGATGTATACACATTATCACATTTCCCATTCATTTCAATGTGGGGTCATATTGACCCCGAAGACCAGAAGTCTAAACATTTTTTTACATACATTCAGAACAACCGAATCAAGCCTAGTTTTTGTGTGTGTGTGTGTGTGTGTGTGTGTATAGATAGACAATTTAGGAAAAGAAATCTTATTCCACTGAGATGAAGGGAACCTTTTTTTTATTAAGTAAAAGTCAATTGGGGTCGTATAGACCCCATGACCCGATTGAGGGCTACGATATTTTTAATGAAATCTGAGAATCTAGTCCATTCACCCAGAACACGGATGGTCCAAAATGTTCATAAAGAGCTTGTAAAAGTAATACATATCAATTTTTTTTTTCTTGACAAATTCCATTAAAAATATCTTCATTTGTGCATTGAAGATGAATGAAAGTCTTATGGGATTGTAATGATATGAGACGAGAGTGAGTAAATAATGACAGAATTTTCATTTGTGAACTAAACCTTTAAAGCAGGGATGTCGAACCTCGCTCCTGGAGGGCCACTATCCTGAGTTTTGCTTCAACATGCCTCAACACACCTGCCTGGAAGTTTACTTAACTTACATAATAGGCCTATAAGACCTTGATTATCAGGTTCAGGTGGTGTGTTTAATTGGTTTTGGGGAACTATTGGTGCGTTCACGTGCTATGGAAAATATGATATTTTCCACTTGTGCACAGGTATTTACCAGTGTGTTGCGTTCAAGTGCTTTTGTTGTCGAAATGTGGTAAAAAGATGAAGATCTAGACCTGTTATTTAGCTAAAACTATTTTAGATCATTTTCCACGTCGGCCTTTAGTATTTACCACAATTACCATAGCACGTGAACCCACCATAAACTCGGCTTTAAATCATTGTGCTGTTTTTGCGATCATGTGACTTTTTTGGAACTTATGCAAATAATTCTTTGGAAATTCACTTATCAAACTACATACTGTCAGGCCTCTTTGACAGCTGATGCTTTTCATGTGGTTTGTCCGCTTCAATGACTCTGTCAATGACTCTAGGCTTTGGGACTTTGTGAAAGCCTCTCATATTCAATGAGAAAGAGCGAGACTGAGTGTCTTTCATTAGCCATATGTCTCCAGGCGGTGCTGGAACAGATCGCTGAATGGCAGGGGCACATGTTGGCTCTGTTCAGTCCTGCCACCTGGCACCTGTCACACACCCGCTCGGCCAGCGCAACTCAAGGGGCTCCACTCTCCTCAGTGCTGTTGCGCGCCCAGCACACAGCATATGGAAATCACGCCAACCCACTAACATAGACGACTCTATGAGTGATCCTTAAGATTTAATTAGGATCATACTGAAAACGTAGCATACTATGTTTACTGATACTCTGCTCTAAGTAAAGAATGTTTTGATGTTTCATCATCCGCCAGGTCAAAAGTAAGTTTGATCACTAAAAAAAAAGTAACAGCACACCTTTCCTCAACAATCATGCACATCATAGAGTCTTCTTTATACAGCTCTTTTCCAAATAATTCCAAATATTTATTGACCATCTGTTAAATCCAAAAATGCATAAATGTGCATTTGTGACACTAGTGAAAAAAGTCCACTGTTAATAGTGCATCTATGTGTAAATAAAAAGATAACAAAAGTCACTTTAAAAATGAGCAACTAAACCTGTTGCAAATCTTTCTGTGGAAATTTCTCTCCCTCATGAGAAATTCAGGGATTCCAAAAGAAATGACTGAATTTTGCCACCTGACTGCACCTTTGAATGTTGTCTTTATGATTCTGACTTGTGATGTGCACTACATTTACAGTCTTCTGCTATGTGCTAGATTTATATAAAGACTGGACTAAATTTTAAGTTGTTATTCACAGATAATCTTGCCCTCCAGTGAACTGTTAACCAGTGAACCTTACCTCTGGGACTGGGCCAATGAGTCAGTGAATTGTTCTTTTGAGCCTATACTTTCAATGAACCAGCAATGGCAAATTGTAACTGTTTTGTTTTGGAAAATTGGTGTGTAATTCAAATGAATTTCGACATGTTTGTATTATCTGCTTACGCCCTTCTAATGGTTAGGTTCAGGGTTGGACCTTCATGCTTTTCCATACGAATCACATCATAGATATTCATACTAGAGCCAGACCGATATATCGGCCGATATTAGGCATTTTCCAAAATATCGGTATCGGCAGTTATAATGGCCGATAAATTAATATTTAAAAAATAAAATAAAAACGGACGAAACACGCTTCAATCATCTCTCCTTGGCCTGTTATATTGAAAATGTATGTTTTACAATTCGCAGTATGAGGTTATCTATTGCTAAATTATGGCTCATCATAGACTAGCTAACCACAAAGTGAGCTAATGCCAATATCATCAGTGGAAGACCGCTAACGTTAACTTTAATGAGCTTGGAAACCACAATGAACTTTTTCTGCCTAAATAAAGTAATGATTACTGTATTTATAACCAGCATATCTCTAGTTACAGTCCCTGCATTGTAAAATGTAAGTTAGACTTGCGAGGAGTGAACATTTAGACATAGAGAAAAAGTATCAAACGTATCTTGTGCAGAAAAGTTAGCTTTTCTCTTACACGTGTGTGAAATAAAACAATATTTAATAAAAAAATAAAAAAATAAAAAATCGGCCGATATATCGGGCTCTAATTCATACAAAGTTTCAGTCTCACCGAACAGGAAGATTATAAGTGAATGATGAATTTTGAAGTTTGTTGTCTACCATCATTAAGTATATGCAATTGTGGATCACTCTACGAAGTAAAACAAAACACACCTTAGATGGTTGTACTATTACATTTGTTGCAGGCTGCTCAATGTTCATGGACTGAATCTTCCGTCGCTGGTCCTCGACAGTTTCACCTGAAAGGCAAAGTATAAAAACAATGAATACTTTTAAAATCAACCAGAGAAGAAAGGCATAGCACCAGTCATAGTCGACGCTTTACGGTAACGGCTTGATTTTCAAAAAGACAGGACAATAATGTGGATTAACTTCATTTAACAAGGTGGATTACTTTCTTAGATTACTATCACATTACAAAGCAGTCCTTCTACGTACAGTACTTACAGCCACAATTAACGGTGTCACTTAAGAATAACCTGCAACACCTTGAAACCATATCTAGACTGAATGCTGTGTAACATAAAAAGGCATTCGCCATGTAAGACCCGTTCGCATCATTACATCCTTTTCCTGCTTGAAAATGAAAGCCAGCCTCTTTCTTTTGCTCCTGAAAATCACACGGCTGAATGTCTTGGTGATAGTCTGCTCACCTGGGGCCTTCACACACACACACACACACACACACACACACACACACCACGGCTCCTCCCTGTGTTATTAACACCTTCACAACACCTCCACAAATATCTCCCTCTGAGATGGTGTCCATTGTTTATGTTCAGGGAAAAAGCTTGTATGACTGCGTTCAGAGTGACAGCGATATAATCGGCACCAGAGGTCACCAGGTCTTACAAGTCACTGTTCCTCTACTGGACTGCATCATGATGTGGGTCACATTCTCTGCTCTCATATGCTCTCTGCTCCTCGTGTAGTCTCAAACTGCCATCTCCAAACGACAACGAGGTATTTGCTGCAAAACACTATAATTTCTTTTAAGACCTTCCCTAAACCAATTGCTATGGTACTTGGTATTGCACAAAAATATATTTAACCAAAACCATAATTCAAGTTTCATTTCCCCTTTTTTTTTTGATGTTTTAATTGAAAATCAAAACTGAAAGTAAAGTTTTGGCAATTGAACTCTGGTTTGATTGCTGTTAGGGTGTAATGAACAGAACATTGTATTCTCAGGTTATAAATTAAGTTGATAGAGCTGTATATGTCAGCCAAAGAAGTTTTACATATTGCAACCTGACGCTAAAGGCTGAAAGAGTCAAAACATAGCTTGTCTATTACTGAATTAAAATAGAGTTTGAGGGCACTGTGACTATCTGCTTTCCTGTTGTTCTTTTTTAAGGCCTTCCTGTGTGTTTTTGGGCATGCACCAGCTCGAAAGGTTTTTGTTTGTTTGTTTTTTGGAGAAAAGCATAATTTTAAAAACAGCGCTAATTAAACCCCATTGTTTTGATCAATGATTTCGTTTGAAACCGAAAAAATGCATATTTTTTGGTTGCCAGAATTTTTGTGCATCGCTAGCAGACCTGATCCGTTTATGACCAGATTGAATAGCCTCACTTCGTCATACTCATATTCAAGAGAGAATATGAGTCTGAAACTCCTCCGTTGGGCTTTGATTATGAGGCGTGTCGTAACCGAACCAGAAAAAAATAAAAAAACCTCTGCACTCAATTGGAAAGTCGGCAGACCTACAACCAATCAGAGCAACGCATAAGTCAACTCCTTTGCATAGCGCAGTTTTCAAATACAGAACGTCGCCTAACTTTATTTATTTTAGAAGTTAAATAACGAGTGTTGCTTCTTTTACTTACTTCTCCATGAGTGCCACCAAAGGAGAAACCACAACGACCACAGGCTTTTCATTACGTCCCATCTTCTTAACGACCGTCAGAGCCAGCTGATAAGTTACACTTTTCCCGAATCATGTAGGAAGGATGCCAAAAATATCTTTCCGATCGACAAATGCCTTGATTGCAGTTCTCTGTTTGTCTATTAAAATGAATGCGCTGTCGATTTATTTTACAAAAGACGCGACAGCAGAATCTATACATCTCAATTCTCCAGCTGCAGTCATCTTTGACAAGCGCTCTTTGATAACGTGATGATTACGTCCCTGCAGATCATCTGTCCATCATCGTATAAAGCCCGCCCTGGCAATTTGATTGGCCCGTTCATTTTATGCCTGATCGTAATTACTCCTCAATGGATCGAGTCCAGACCAGAAAAATGTTGTGGGCGGAGTTCGGGCTGGCATCCAGGCTACTTCTTGAATGTATAAAGCCCCAAATCAATTCTATTCAGCTTTAATAGCTAATATCACGGAAAAACAAACTGTAGCACATGGACATTTAAGTGCGAAAGAACACAATTATTGAATTAATTCACTGAAAGCCGTTTTTCTGGCTGGATAACTTAAGCTGTAATACATTCAGTCCCTTACAGCATTAAATAATTATCAACACCAAGAACGATAACTATCATAAAAAAGCACACCACAACCGGAAAGATATAGTTGGAATCACTTCCAGATCGATTTTTTTCAGGCTGGTGTCCAATAAAAACATTGACACCCATTGACTTTACACATTGACTTTAAAGCGTGTGTTCTGGGTGTAGTGTTCTCAGGTGCTTAAAATAAACAGAATGTATTGTCTCTTGGTGTGGATTGTGGACGCCAAGATGTTTATCGCTTGTTATAGCATTTGTTCTTGCTGTGAATATGGGAATTTAATATTATATTAAATAATTCGAACAATTACACTGGCCTTGTTCCAAAAATCATGGCGACGGACGGATATAGGTTTACGTTTCTCAATCGAAGGAGACGTAGGCATGTTATCCAAGCATTAATGGCAAGGAAAACCCCTTATACTGGGAGTGGCCACATATGAGGTGTTTCTGGGAGGTTATAGTACACATAATTATTTTGTCTTTTACGAGTTTAATAAACGAACTTGTCTTCTGTCTAAACATACCACGCCCACTTTAAAGAATGATGTGACTTTTGGACGCCAGGTAAACTGTAAATGCAAAAAACATTGTTTCCATTGCAATTTTGCAAAATACCCCTTTTTTGAAATGCCTGAAAAACCGCCACATATAAGCGTAAAAACTTTTTTTTTTTTGCAATATATAGAAGTTTTGGCGAAATTGTGAGAAAAAGTGATCAACGCAGCCAAAATTCATTTGAAACAATCTGTATTGTATAAAGTGCTATATAAATAAAGATAAGTAGATATGGAACATAAACTGATCCATTGCTAAGCTGCTACTATTTGCCATTTTACAAATCATATATGGCCTCAGTTGCACTTCAAAGTCAAAGCAAGGAATTTCTTTCCCCAAGAGAAGTGGATCTGTGGCACAGATAAATAATGCAATGTAAAGTAAGCCTATATCGTGTCCCTTATGTGCTGTCAGCATGTTACCGCAGTTTCTTTCTTCAAGTTTCTTGGGCCTGTTCAATTGTACTGGAGGTGAACCGAATGAGAGGCTGCTAGCTACAGAGCAAATGAATGGAGCATGACGTACAGATCCCCTTCCATGTAATCTGGGCGTAATGAGTGGAGCTAGAAGGTCCAACCACACCCTAACCCTACCCATAACTATATCCCTCCACCAATTAGATCAGGAGGTGGAGCTGAACTAGGTTAAGCTCCACCCATAAAGACCAGAGAGGGGGAGCTGGATGTCATTTGGCTCTGCAGTGAGCACCACTTCATATGAACAGCTACATATATCAATGACATGATAGACTAATTGTCAATTGCGAACTAACAGTCAAAACCGTATTTAGTGCCCCAAACCAAATAGACAAGTGTGTTCTGTTGCTGTGTGAAGGTAGCGGTCATGCGTTTATCCTGTCAGCCTGGCGAACCCCTTTGCTCTAGTTCCAGCAGAGCACTTAAATAAAGTCCTGGAATCATGATTGAGTTTAGTTAATCTACAATTCTACCCTAAAGTAATAAGACTACGACTCAAAAATCAATAGAACAATAATAGATTTATAATAAACACCGAGAATTTGCATTAAAAATAATAATAATAATGTATACACCCCAGAACCAAACAAAGTCAATATGAAATCAAAAATTGAGTCTATTTACTTATATATTCATGTAGGCTCTGGGGCCTTCCCAATAGTGCAAACTAGTTTAATTTAATATCAGTTAACATTATTTTTCATGATTTGCAGGCTTCATAAATGTTAACTTCAAATTAAAAGCATCACTCAGTGAAATTCTCTGTTTATTTCCAAAACATTCTCATTTCTCACAGCATGGTTAGCCTAAATTGGAGAACCAGCATAGTTTGCCAAACATCAATCTATTCTCAGCAGTTGTTCCATTCCCTGGTTGACAATATTTCCTCAAACTACATGAGCATGTGGTGTGAGCTATTCAAATCTGGCTCAAGCCCTCAGTCAACATATCCTGCTTTTTATGAAACAAGGGATCTCTCTTTCCCTTTGACCTACATTCCCTCTAGTATAGTCAAATGTAGGCTGGGAGGCATAAAAACATAAAACCTTATTGCTGAAAGTAGCAACTTGCACAACTAAAGGTGGGCTATGTTATATCATTGTATTAACTGTCGAGGTTGTGGCATTTGAACGACACTGGCCCTTGGTCATCTGTATCCACTTCAGGTACAGGAAATGGCCAAATACATGTCCTGATTGATTGCTACTTCATATTAAGGAAAAATACGTCACAGAGACTAGATAGAATTGTTTTAACCATTACTATTGTATTGATGAACTTCAGTCACACTGACTGTGAGGATTGAACTATTCTGCCCTCTTGTGGTAGAGAGAAATTAACCAAACAATGTTTTGACAAATCAATCAATGTTTTAATATTTACTATTAACAATATTTTGGATGGATGGATGGTCACATGGACAGGCAGATAGATAGACAAACGGATTTAACTTTCTTATTCAACTAAAATAATCAAAGAAAATCTAGACAATGAGAAAAGTGCTTCTAAAATAAAATGACTTACCAATGATGACAAATCCATCAGTTTCCCTCTCAGAAGATTTTTTGGCTCCGTCATTCTTGAAACCGAAAAACTTCAACATCTTTTGTGTCTGAAAATCAGTCACTCCTCAACACAAGTGATGTTATGCTGGTAGGAAGCAGATTTCGCAATCAATCGAGTGTAACAAATATATTTTTCTTTTTCTGTATGCATTCAACACCACTATGATCTATATAAAGTCACAACATGGAATCAATGAAAACTGTCCTGCTGCTTTGTTTTTCCTAGACAGCTCAAGAAACAAGCAAGTTAGCAAGCGTTGCTATACTAACATTTCCGCTGAAATACAGTGAACAATAAAAAGAACAATATTTTTGAGATTTGAGTGAAATATTGTCTTACTTAAAATCATACGAGTCTAATGTTTCAGTTTTGTTGTGGTAAAAGCGAGCTACTCGACTGAAGTTTTGTTTACGAGTCTTTCCCACGTCGTGTCCGTCTGCTTTTTCGCTCCGTGTGAAAACCAAAAAAAGCTTTTCCGTTTCACTCTGACAATGCGTTTCCAGTAAACAGTTTTTTTTAAACGTGATAGTACTTCATGTATTAAGGCATGAGTAAGGTATCTGTAAATATTTACTAGCATGGCCCTTATTAACAACTATGAATATACGCTTATTGTGATTTCTGTGAGTTATGTTCATTTTATTTTGATAGACAGAGAATGCAGTCAGAATGCAAAAAGCAATGGCTTTTATTATAAATATATTTCTAATAATGGGAAATACCATCAGAATAAACACAAATGGACTAAAAAAAACAAACGCATTTTTATTTTATTTAGGAATGATTTATTTTAGCCCTCGTGAGTAACTTATTGGTTAGAAAAACTTGACGGACTAGGTTTCTGTGAAGCTTTTAAGTAATGTACCATTTCTTTTCAATTGTTGTCTTATTTTTATTTATTTATTTTTTTTTACCACAACTAGGAACTATAGTTAACAGGCTATTTGTTTCGAGCGTTTTTCTCTGACGCACCGGAAACGTGGTTATGCGGGGGAAATACGTCACGTAATCCCAGTTTTCCCGCGGTTCTGTTTGACCGGACTGAAGTCATCTTGGGTTTTATTTCTTGTGTGGTTTCCCGTAAACATCCGCAATGTCAGGCGTTTATGAGTCCCCGAAAACCAGAATCAATACGTCGATGTTGTCTCAATACATCAATCGACCTGTCTGCTTCATTGGACGCTTGGAAAGGGTATTTAATGAACATTTGATCATTTATTTACTCCGTAATGACTCTGAGCCATCTAACGATAGCTGTATAATGAAATTTAAGTACGAATGATGCATGATATGATCAGCGCAATGATACGGTGTAGTGTATTTGAGTAGTTTTCAGTATATTAACTATATTAATATATTAACTATATATTAACTAGTACAAGACGAGCCTATCAGGGCGATTTGTTCCACGCATTGCAAAATAAAAATGTATTGTACATGTGAACATGACAGAGTGTGGTTGTGTGTTGACAGGTCCATCCATCAGGAAAGACTTTTACTCTTACAGATGGAGAAGGAAAGAATGCATCAGTGGAGCTCAATGATCCTGTGAGTGATCAGATGATGCACTTCTGTGTATGATGTTGGTATTTATTAAAAAGATCATATTTCCCCCCGTCCTGTTTTAGCTGGATGAAGAGCTGAGTGGGATTGTAGAGGTTATTGGAATGGTGTCCAACAAAGGAACAATCATGGCTGTTTCATATACCCAGTATCGCGAGGACAAAGTCTCTTTCGGTATTATTTGTTTTATTGATTATGGTAGTTTTATGGTCGGTATCATTTGCACTGGCATGTAAAATATTTCCCTTTTGCTTTGCAGATCTGGAACTGTACAACGAAAGCCTGAAAATCCTTAATGACTTTCCCCAGTATTACCCGTTTGAGGTGTCATTAAGCGGTTAAACAGCACTTTTATTTTCATTTTACAGTTTTTGTATAATTGGATATTTACTGTTTGTCCAGTTTTTGTTACTTGAAATAAAACTTATATAAAATCTTTGTTCACAATTTTTTTTTAATTAATGAAGACTTCTATAGCTGTACATTGACAAAAATAATTCTGGAAGTTATTTACAACAAAATATTAGGTAAGTAAAATAAAAATTAGTACCATTTTTATTTTTTTTTTTATCATGAAGCAAAGCATGATTAAATGAATGGATTTGTCTAAATTTTCCAATTATTTCATTTCACTGATGAATTACAATTTGTTTTAAGAGTAAAGCTTTTTTTAATTGTATTAATGTGGTTATTTCTAAATAAGAATTTCATGTTAAATGCACATTGATTATACTCAAATAAAAACTTTTTTTTTTTTTTTGTTAATGACTGATCAGTCATTTAAGTAATCAAGGACACAAAAAATATATTTTGAAGAATGTTTGTAACCAATCAGTTGATGGACCCCATTGACTTCAATAGTATGGAAATAAATACTATGGATGTCAATGTTGTTCTACAACTGATTGGTTTCCGACATTCTTCGAAATATCTTGTTTTGTGTTCAGCAAAAGAAAGAAACTCATTCAGGTTTGGACGTGAGGGTGAGTAAATGATGATAAAATTTTTATTTTGGAGTAACTTCTCGCTTTGAGGTGAATTGCTCTGCTCATTGAAATGAATCACATACTGGTGAAGATTAGTTAGCACTTGATGAATGAGGGGATATTTAAGGTTGGTCTACAGACATGTTTATTATTTCACATTCAAAAGATAATCAATTATTATTCTTTTCAGGTTTTTTTTTTTTTAATGCATTTCCTAAACGTAGACATCAAGATAATTCAATTTGGGCTTTTTTTAAATACAAGATTGGGTTCAATAAACTTGTTTTTATTCTTCCACTAGATGGCAATGAAGTTAAAAACTAAACATGAAGGCCATGAGTTGGAATCATACTGTACAAATGGAATACACATTTTTTTTTTTTTAAATTGGACAAAACACATTTTGTTAATTTTTTGTTATGCGTTTACAACATAAGACCTAAATTGCAAGAAGTGAGGAAAACCATAAAGTTTAGCATCATCTTATAAATAAAAAAATCTCTGGATTTGGTCTTGGCAGCATTTTATGAGTTGTTTTGATTATGACATTTTTTAGTTACCTAACATTATTTGTAATATAATGTAAGACTATAGGCTACTATAATAAAACTATCATAAAAATTGGAAAGAAATCCAAGTCCAGGCACTCAGGGTTACAAAAGTGAAAAAGGCCTTTATTTAACAATCGAGGGCTAGTTTTTTAATGGTTTAGCCCTCGATTGTTAAATAAAGGCCTTTTTCACTTTTGTAACCCTGAGTGCCTGGACTTGGATTTCTTTCCAATTTTTATGAACTTTCAGCCCTTCCAAGAGAACCAGAGGATACAAGGGACACCAGCAGCGCTCCAGCTTCCTTTTGTTTAGTATAATAAAAGTATGTTCTTATATTTACTATGTATAGCCTACTTATATTTTGCCTACTATTTACTCCAGACCAGTGAGAAGATGAGACTGACACTCTTTAGAAATTAAAACCAGAATATTAGAAGTTTCTTATTTAATTATGGGAGTGAGGCTAATATTTCTATGGAAAAAAAAAAAAAAAACTTGTACAATTACAAAAAACATCAATCAGTAAATCACGACATGTCAGGAGGGGACGAATGAGCCAAATACCTCAATCAGTCACTTCAGCTGTCATGTTGAGTAACTATTCTCTTTGACAGGACAAAACATCAGGCATTATGGCAAAAGATGCGTTCTGCATGTTGTAGTATTTAATATGATGAGCAATAGGTGTTTTAGTGCTCAATGGTGTGGTTAGGAGTTGCCTGAGGTCAAGCAGCTGCCATATTGTTGCAAGTTCTGACAAAGTGCTGTTTGTACCACTAGCACAGGAGTGTGGCAGTATATATAGTACGTAAGAGTTATGTACATAAAAAAATTCACATTTTATTTTATTAGTATTGGAAAAGATAACATCATTCTCTTTTTAAACTATAACATAAGTAAAACAGCAGGAACCATACTAATTAGATTTTATTTGTATTTTATTTGTATCCTTTACACATTTTATAATCTCTTCACGAGTTCTCTGCTGGTCAAAATACTATCATGCAGGGCAGGCAACACTCATGCAAGCGCAATTTAGCCCATGCACACATGACAAATTGGGTGTTCCGTCATGAAATGTAATAAAAGCTGACTAACAATCAGGTTATGAACATATCCATTCTGGTCCAGTGATAAAAAATGCTAATTGGAAAAGGACTATTTTCTTTTGTCCGGACCAAACGAACAGATCTACACATCCAAGGAAAAAAGTATTTACGAGGTGCTGATTTTGTTAATGTTAATCAAACAAAGCGTGAAGGATCACTGCTAAACATGACTGGGGTGTAAACAAATTCTAAACTGTATAGGCCACAGACAAGTTTGTTCAAATTCATAGTTTAGGCTAGCCACCAATTTGCCAAAATAGTTACATTACAATTGCTTTAGATCAGGGGTGTCCAAACTCGGTCCTGGAGGGCCACTGTCCTGCAGAGTTTAGTTCCAGCTTGCCTCAACACACAGCATGCCTAATGATCTTCAACAGCTAATCAAGACCATGATGAGCTGTTTCAGGTGCGTTTAATTGGGGTTGGAGCTAAACTCTGCGGGTCAGTGTTTGGACATCCTCCACACTGTAAAAAAATATTTTCAAGATTTGTTATCACAGCATATTTTCTTTTGTCAAATCAACTTTATAATAATTTATTATTTTGAGTTAATCTCACTTTTTCCAGTTCAATTAACTTAAAATTTTAAGGCAACCAGGTTACTTACTTTTTTAAGTTAAACAACCTACAATATTTTTTTACAGTGAACCGAGTTTGGACACCCCTGCTTTAGATTGTGTTGACAAACCCATCTGAAGTTCATGACCTTGTAACCCACATTAGCTACTACCACACGCCATTAAGTCGACATCTTGACCTTTGATCTTAATTAAGATAACACAACCTAATCCTGTTTTTTTCTAATAAGCGTTTAAGGGTTTGCACTAAGATTTCCAAAAGCATCAGATCTGTGTTCATTGCCTCAGGAAGGTTTCTCCATAACATCTTCTGACATGTTTAACAAATCACCCAAGCACAATTGGTTCAAGAAAACGTTCGTACCCTGTAGTCATGCATGTAAGTTCCCAGGGATGTTAAACTGTCTTTTAGTGCATTCAACAGCAAATCTCTTGGCACTTTACATTTGCATCTTCTCGTTTAGCAGATGCAATTTATCCAACGAAAGGGCAACAACAGAAGCACATATTATAGCTACATACAGTATTTTGGCCATCATACTGAACACGTAAAGTTCACAAGTGAAGTCAAAGCTCATTCTGCAGTTGGGTCTTGTGCAAATGCTTAAAGGCACAGAATGATTAAAACATCAGTTTTTCCTTGTCATGTCTCTCTTT